GACCTAAGGTGAGTTTTAAATAGGGACAATTTTTAAACAATTTTAAAGAGCCACAGCTACCAATATTTGGATTTTAATTGGTTTTTAGCAGGGGAAAAAATTTTTTGTACAATGTTTTAATATGCTGTGAGCCGCCCTGAGTCCCATGGGGAGAAGGGCGGCATATAAATTTAAATATAAATAAATAAATAAATAAATAAACTGATGACCAGTTTTCACACTTCAGACTGTTGCAGCATCCCCATAGTCACGTGATCAAAATTTGGACATTTGGCAACTGGCATGTATTTATGACAGTTGCACTATCCTGGAGTCATGTGATCACCATTTGTAACTTTCCCAGCTGGCTTCTGACAAGCAAAGTCAATGGGGGAAGCTTGGCTGCATGATTCACTTAATAACTGCAATTATTCACTTAACAATTGCGACAAAAAAGTTATAAAATGGGCAAAATTCACTGCCTTGCTTAGCAATGGAGATTTTAAGCTGTGGTTGTAAGTCAAGGACTACCTGTACACTTACAAGTAGTCTTGGTTACATACCTGGTGAATCTTAGTTATATTTGAATGACAGAAAGACTATTCTGAAAACCTTCCAAAACAGATTTTATTGTTCCCCTCCCTCCCAGATCTGGGATACAGCAGACTTTTATTACTTTGGATGTAAAAAAGCTGTCTGTTCCCTGATGGGAAAGATGACACTTCAGATAGAGATCTCTATCTGCCAAATATGCTGTCCAGAGGCTTCAAGAGCATCTGGAATTATGTGAAGTGATACAAACATTCTTTATGTAGTGTCCTTTAATATATATGATAAATCGTCACTTAGTATTTAGTCATTGCTGGTTGTATTTGTTCCTAGCATTAAACCAGGATTTATTATTTTTTTTATAATGCTGGCTCATAATGCTAAACAATTGGGTAGATTCACACATCCACATGCTAGACTGACTTTATGTGTGAACTAAATAACTGAGTAAAAGATATGCTTTTTCAACCTTTGCTACATAGCTATAATCATGCAAACTCCCGCTTTAAAGTCCTCATTAGCAAATACAGATAATCCTCACCTTACAACTGTAATTGAGCCCCAGATTATGGTTATAAGTAGTTGCAGTCGTAAGCTGAGGCATCATGTGACCGAATCTGATTTTTTGACATTTTCTGCCAGAAACCAGAAGTTAACGCTGGGAACCAGCAAAAAAGTAGCAAATCATGGTCACATGAATGTGTGGGACACTGCAAATGGCGTGAAGGTGAGCTGGTTACCAGGTGCACAAAATCTGACCAAAGAGAAGGGGTGCAACTGTTGTAACTTCAAAATGGGTTGTACGCAACTATGGGGAGGTTCATTGTAACTTTGGTCATTAAGCAACCAGTTGTAAATTGAGGACTACCTGTATTATGAGATTTACCTCAGTAAATATCCATACATATTTATGAATGTATATACAATATTGGTCTTTTTTTTACTGGAATCTTGATCAGAAAGTTTTTTTAAAAAATCATCTTTCCATGAGTATTATTTTAAATGATGCAATTGGAAAATGAGCACATTCTACCATTTATTAGTATTAATAAAAGTTAATCTTCCCATAAAATGCTGGGCAGATACATTTCCAGAGTAATCAGCCTGTCTGTCCTTCAGATGGGCGTATGTGGCATAACTCTAAGCTGCTATTATGCCATGAAAAGCATCCCACTAACATAGAAAAAAAAATCAGGAGTGGAAAGAATCGACTTCTATTTTACTTAAATATCCCTCCCAGAAGCAAATGTTACTTATCACAATTTAGCCTCAAGTGAACGGTTAGTTGCAAGTAAACCTATCACTTTTTTATCTACTATTTATTTCATGGCTTGGTGTTTTGTTTTTCAGGGTATATTTTATCAGTTGGATTGATCTCTTTTGCTATTTGCAAGAAGCACGGGCCACTCGGCAGCCAGCAAAGTATGAACCTCTTGATGTGGATGTTGCAGCTGAAAGGCCTGATCTTAATTTATTTTGGCATTGCAATCCCCTGGGTGGCCTATGCAGTCATAACTGCTATGCTCTGTACAAAACTCCTGCATTATCCCCTTCGAGCATCCTGCTATATTGGCAAGTCAGTAATCTTTCCCTTATTAAATCAAAATGATATTCTTACCAAAAATTTGTTGAAGCAACTGTATAATGTAATCAGGCATTTCAGGCAATTTTATTCTGTCAATGAAAACCGTGTTGTTTATTTATTAAATTTGTTTGCCCCTTATGTTCTGCTTTCTCTCTGTCTGATATGTAGTAGAGCTTGCACAGTGCCAGAATGTCCCGGAAGTTGTTTGCTTCTGTCCCCACTCAGCTGTAAAGTCATTCAGTGCAAGGCCATGGGCCTTCCAGCTCAAACTGAGTAGCACCACACTGAGAGAGAACAACTTGTCCTTGAGGATGTAATTTTTGGCATTGGTGTACTTTTTCTAAAAGTTATTGTCCTACTGAATTATATTATTTGAGAATTGGATTATACAAATCTACAAATAAACTGGCTGTGTTTGTAGTCACTGCAAAGCAGGATTTATGTTACCGATGTTTAGTTAAGGAAGCATGAATCATTCTTTGAGGATAAGCAAAACAATTTCCTGATTTGGTTGTTGCCATTCCCTCAAGAAAGCATGGGTTGGTTTGAGAAACAGAGTCTGTTTAGACATTTGCCTTAGTGCCTTGGTAAATTGGCAAAGGGTCTAGAGAGCAACACAAAAGTCAAGGAAAAAACTAGGATTCTGGGACCAGCCCTAAAGATTAAAACAAATCAGAATATGTAACCGTAGTTTCTCTTTGCCTGATTAGTTGTGATGCACTAAGAGATGCAGTCTGTAGTTACATGAAACCTGTCTCAGCATTATATGAAATCCAAGCTTCTGTTTTGTCATTCGCTGCACTTCCTTAGAAGCAATCATTCTAGGGAGCCTAACAGTTATCTGGGGCCATATTCAGTATAGAGTATTCTTACTCTATATTGTGGGTATGTCATTTCAGAAGTAGTAGCATTATTAGGGATTTTTCTGACACATGGTTGTGCCCTAGTATTTGAGGTATGATTACACTTTCTTCAGCACTTTTTAGCATCAGGGCTATTGTAGACACCGCATGCAAATAGACTTAATTTTAATCACTCTTTTGGATGAAAACATATGCTAGGACAGTGGTGGCGAACCTGTGGCACACGTGCCAGAGGCGGCACTCAGAGCCCTCTCTGTGGGCACGCGTGCCATTGCCCCAGCAGAGTTTGCCAGAGTAGCGAGCACATGGTGTTTGGAAGTGACAGGGCAGGAAATAAGCGAGCAAGCGACGTTGCCCCCCCCGGGGATGCCCCGGAGATGGCAAGGGACTGGCCCTGGCCACGCTCACCCAGTCTGCCATGACCACTGCAGCCACGCCCACCCGATGGGCCACGCCCCACGTCCCCCCTGAGGCCACCACAATGCTGATGCAGCCCTGGCACTTTGTGATAAATAAGTGGGTTTTGGGTTGCAGTTTGGGCACTCGGTCTCTAAAAGTTTCACCATCACTGTGCTAGGATGTTCTGCTTTATTTGCCAGATAATTCAACGTGTGTCTAAATATAGGTGCTTTCAAGGAGAGCAGTTCACTCATTAAATTATACAATATCTGTTGTTAGAGCTTTTGGCAATAAACTCAGGAATCTGGGGGGGGGGACTTTCTTTTAGCACTTTGAATTCTATTCATACTCAGTTGTGCTTGGAATCTCATTAAAGGGCTGCAGAACTGTTTGGGTACAAAATTGGCACCTTGTCAAGAACTCAAGTTTGGCTGTGCTTGGAGAAGCCTTAAGAAGGAGATCTGATCTCCAAGGTGGCAAGGTTAGAAGGCCACTTCTTACCTTTCCCCATTGCGAAGGGTTACAACACAGTCCTCTCTATGTCTGCTCAGAAAGAAGGGTCACTGGAATTTACTTAGGAGCAAACAACATAGCTAATAAACTCAAACTACCTTGAATGTAATTCTTTGATTATTTTAACTTGGTATGGATTTTCCATTTAGTATGAGGTAGTCAAGAATAATAGTCTGCCTGTCGGATTCTCGATAATTCTTTTTAAAAATGTATTCCATACCTTTTGGGTTTCAAATCCATACTATAATCTTTAAAGTGCCTCCCTCCCCTTCTCCCCCCCCCTTGGTTTAGAAAAGCTGCTCAGTATTTCCACCCAGAAAACTTGGAGACTCGTTATCTGACAGAAGACGAATACCGGGAACAAGGAGAAACAGAGACCGTGAAGGCCCTGGAGGAGCTGCGCATATTCTGTAGGAATCCCACTTTCCCCTCTTGGGTAGCTGTGGTCAAACTGCAATCCCCACAAAAGTAGGAGCATTTGTTTTCTTTTCCATATCTTATAGCTTCATTTGGGGTTTTAAATAGCAAAAGCTTTTTTTTCCCATTGAGGTTGCACTTCCACAGGAGTCTTCTCTGGCGGGCTACATTTGATGCCTTTGTGGATGAGATTAGAGCAGCGGTTCTCAACCTATGGGTCGCGACCCCATTTGGGGTCGATCGACCATTTCACGGGGGTCGCCAAGCAAGGCTGTCCGCCATTTTTTTCCCCTTTTCCGGCGGGTGCCTTACCTCCCTTGAGCTGGGCCAGCTGGTGGTCGGCCTGCTCCGTCTCTGCCGTTTGCCAGCTACGCCTCGGCCGGTGCAGGGGGCGGAACCACACATGCGCGGGGCTCCCGGGCAGGGAAAGTCCTCGACTTACGATCGGTTGGGTAGTCCTCGACTTACGACCGGTTTAGTCCTCGACTTACGACCGGTTTAGTCCTCGACTTACGACCGGTTGGGGTCACGGCATTAAAAAGGTTGAGAGCCACTGGATTAGAGCAAGGTGGGGTTGGGCCAGTATTTTTCTTCCTGACATCCCTCCCCTTTTTTTCCCCCATCACTTTTAACTGTTTGGTGCATTGCTTTCTTCTGTTTTGTGATCCCTCTTTCTCCTTTCTCCAGGTTTGCAAGCTTCGTTCTAGGTTCTCCTCATGTATCTGCTGAAGAAACGACAGCCCATGAGGCACAGTATGGCATCGGAGGAGCCCTCCTAGAGCAACAGCTTTTCCAGCCAGAGACTGAGGCAGAACTAGAGCCCCATAATGCTTCTGCTGAGGTGGAGGAGAGAAACAAAGAGGAGGGACTGAGACTGTTACAACCAAACCTCCGGCACTTCCACAGTAGAGAATTTCTTTGAGCTGATGCCCAGGTCAGCGGAAACATGTAATAACACGCTTTTTGAACTGTAGAGGGCAGTCAAGACATTTTGAAGGACTTAACCATGACTTCATTGGTTTCCAGAAAGCAGTTAAGTTTGCAAAGCCATCATGCCTAGGGTTATGTAAGGAGAGAATCCAGGCACATCTGAACAATACCGGACTTAGCCATCGTCTCTGCTTAGAGAAACAATTTGCTGAAGGTTTGATGAGGCAGCCTGTGGAGGGCAAGGAATTCCTCTCAGTTTTCTGCCAATTTACAAGTTCACTTTATAGCAGTCTCTTTTATTTGCCTGATCCGTTGATTTCTAAGTTTGCACATTAACCCATGGTGTGCTTAACTCTCATTTGCTGAGTTCACAGAAACACATTAAGCCATAATCTTTGGTTTGTAAACCACAACGGCTGCAAACCAACACACAATCGCATTGCTTGGGAAAATCCAGTGACAACTGATGTTGGGAAAATGAACTGAGAAGTTGACGTTATTGGCAATTAACCACTTTATGCTAATTATTTCTCCCCAGTAATTGGGATAAGCTGAAGCCGTGTTGTTTCAGCATAATTTGCAAATAAACTGAGCGTTCTAGATATTACAGATGCCACAGAGCACTCATCTTTAGAAGAGCCAAGGAAAATGTTGGAGCATAATAGTAGTAGTAGTAGTAGTAGCAGTAGTAGTAGTAGTAGTAGTCGTAGCAGCAGCAATAAAAGCAAAGGTAATAATAGGTACCTTGGGCACAATTCCAAAACATCTGGAGCACCACTTGAACACCATCGTAATTGACAAAAATCACCATCGGTCAGTTGCAAAAAGCAGCTTTACTTGGAACAGTTTACATCTTGCGACAATACCTTTTAATTTCATCAAACATCATCTGTCTATCCCAAATCCTTGGAAAGGACTCAATAGGTGGATAAAAATGCCAAATCCAGTCTAAATGTCTGGCAGAGTACGTGACCAACAAAAATAAAATTTATTAAATTATATGCCACCCAACTCATAGTGACTCAGAGGTTAGTAGCACAAGTGGGATGGAACTAGTGTTTACTCCTGTGTACATGAAGCCCTAAATCCCAATTGGGATCACTGCCAAAACCTTCCAAGTCCACAAGAGGGATTGGCATTGCTCCCATGTTTCTGCAGATTGCAAGGTCTTTTGGTTGGTTATTTGTTGCTTGACATTTTGGTCTTTGGTCAACTTTTTTTTTTCTTGGTATGCTTTAATGTTTTTTCTGTAGCATGGTGTCGCTATGGAGTCAGGCAGCCTTGAAACTGAAATACACAAATGAACGTATGAAATGCTTAGAAGCACAAATCTGCAAGGAAAGACAGTTAAGAGTTACTTTGGCTTCAACGGCTGATTTAGGATGGAGGTCTGAAGCTTTCTTCTTGTTTCATTTAGAGGAAGCTTGATTTTTCTTTTGAGGCAACAGGCCAGCAAAAGAATTGTGTAATCATAGGTTACCAGGACTCTGATTTTCCTTACATCGCTTCTTTGGGCTAGGTAAGCATGCTATGATTTTCATAGCAGTTCATAATTTGGGATGCAGTATCTTAAGTCTCTAGTCCTCAAATTGAAACAATTCACCAAGATTTCTGTGCACATAACATGATCTTAGAAACATGGAAAGGGAACCAAGGAGATCTTGTTCTTTAATTACTAATTACTTCATATTAGTCTAGCATTGAAGACTCCATGAAGTTTGCTGTAATATCATCATGATCTCTCCGATTAACCTATACCTCTGGCTTTTGTGAAGATTTAAAAAATGGAGACACCATCATTTTATATAACTTGATTTTTTAAAAAGCTGAAGTATAAATGTAAACAATAACAATGTTTATGTGTGTCAAGTGATGCATTGTTGACAGAATGCACTGTGGAGTAAGAAGAGAACTGCTTGGATTTTGTAAATCCCAACCTGTTTTTAATATTCACTTTCAAATAAAATGAGCCATTGTAAATAGTGCATTCAAATATATTAATAACGTATCTTAATTCCTGCAGAGAGCAGCCCACAGGACACCAAACAAGGAGTGGAGATCTTTGCTGAACAAGGTGGTTGATAATATTGATATATTTCTCATCTCTTGGGTTCAAATTCTTTCTATGAACCCCTTGATGCCAAGAATAAAAACAAGAAAAGGGATATAATTCACTTCCTCTGGGCAAGGAAAAGGAAAGGGGGAACTCGTCTATGATCTCCCAAGGGACAGTTAAATTCATCCTCTGAAGGGCAGCTCTTGGAACTAGCCAGACTATCATCAATCAATACATGAGTGCACTTGCAAGGAATTTCAATGCTTCATATACCAGCATATGGGAAGGGTTAGATTAGAGCAGGAACAATTTGATTGCAGTCTAGGTGCCAAAAATAAAAGCTGCCTTATTGCAAAAAGTGACAATGTCAAGCCAACCTTGGCTAATCTCCAAGATAAAAGAGTGACACGTAACCTGTGCTTAGGGGGAAAAAAAGTCCGTAAAGAAAATCCCAGGCTGTAGGGAAGTTGAAAAAGCAACCTGGAAGAAGGCAGTGACAAATCACCTAGTAATCAGGAGTCAAGCTTAGTATAAAGGGTTATCAAAAGTAACTGCAGGGCAAGTGCCCTCATAACCATCTTAAGAGCCATGATGATTTCAAATATGGCCATGGTTCAGTTGAGGGCTTCCTTGCTTGTAATTTATAGAGAACTCTGCTGTGGAACCACTTGCAAAAAAAGTGAATCTTTTTTCTTCATTTTCAACAGGAGACTAGCAAAATGTTCCCTCATTATTGAGGCTCTCAGTACATATAAGCAGGTAACAAACATGTTGAATACCTGCACTTGTCCAATGGCTGAATGAGACGAGTCATTCGCCCCTTCTGCAAATAGAGCAGTCAGATTAGATCACAAAGTCTTGTTAATATTGTGTTTCATCCTCTACTTCTTAAAGACCTGGCACTACTCGGAGCCATTAACCGGAGGAGAGAGGCATTTGAGAGTAGTAAGTACAAGTAGTCTAATAAAAGCACAAAGTATTTAGTAAACACAAACTCTTGCTAATCCACCTCCTATTACGGTTGTTCATGTTTTTAACAGAACATGACATTTTTGATGTATACATGAAATTTTATTTATCTCGCTACATTTTAACAACTTCACAAATACGAGAGCTGTCTACAGCCCCATTGTCCACAAACAAGGAAGAAACCGATTTGACAGGCAGGTTGGATATGTAAACATAATGTGTAAGTCTTACAACTCAGGTATCCAACATTAACAGTTATTACCATAGCATTTATCACATAGTTCAGATAAGTTCATCTAAAGGATTCGTTGCCTCTTAAATAACCATTTTTAGTCTCCTCTTTTTTTAAAAAAAAAATTCATTTCCTTCCTTCCCTCTGCAATATAAACATATAATAAATAGATTTCTGATTTTATTTTTAAAGGTCACTTAAACAAGTCAAGAGAAATTTACAGTACATTTAAGTTGAAGTGCAAAAAATAGCTAATAACTACTTGCCCATATTTGGTCCCAGGTATAGATTGTTAACAGTCCCTTAAGGCTTATGTAAGGAAAACACCCTTAGCATCTATCTTAAGGTATTCTATATTCTGCATTCAAAAATCAAAGGTATCTGAAATTTAATTCTATGAGCCGCACCAGCCCCTGGGGCATAAATGGCATCCCATTGGCTGCCAGAAGTCAAAAACCATCTGGGCAAAATCACCCATGAGTGGGACTCCTCTAATGGAAGGTTAAGTTTGATATTCAGTATGCTTGAAGCCTAAACGCTATAAAATTGATTCTAACATTTTCTCTCAGCTGTAACAAAAAAGAATGTATGGGACCTGCACTCAGTTCAGTGAAATGTAAATGTCAAATCTGAATCTGCCAATGTATTGACAAATTAGTGATAAGACAACATGATCAATTTGCTCTATCCATTTTTCTCTTTTTCCAACTGCTTTTATATTAACTATGTCTTCCTTTCCTTTACAATAATTAGGATTTACACCCCTTCCCAATCCACAGGCACTTTAAATATATTCTATAAAGTTTTAATCCCTTTCCCCTTAAATAAAGATACTCTATCATAAAATAAACTATATCGGCCTGGCTAAGAAAAACTTCTCAAGAAACAGCTGATATATATGCCTCTCATCACCGGCTTTCAGAACAGACTGCAGGCCTCAGGAACGTGGCATCAGCATCACCACTCCAAAAATCTAACAAAGCTAGACATTTTTGACCCTTTGTTGTTATTGTGCTACACAAGTTAAGTAGGAACTTCTCAGATCTGCCTGAGGGGAAGGAATCATGTTTCCCCATCACACACCAGAGAGGCAAAAAAAGAGAATCCACATAGACTGCTTCTGTAGGACAATCCCTCTTTGGCAGATCCATCCCATATAAAATCATCAGTACCGTCAAACTGTATCATCACAGTCCAGGTCTTCAAACATAACATCACAAATTCCAACCCATATCCCGTTTTTGTAGAATTATGGAGAACCACATTTTCCTGTTCTGTTTCTTTCTAAAATGCCCTTACTAATGCTCTATGGCTTGGCCACAGCAACATAAATGCCGCTTGTCTGGTTAGAAAGGTTTCAACAGATGTTTCATGTAGAATTTTACCAGCCAAAAGTTCTACAACATCTCTGAAAAGTCTTTACAAAAGACAGAATTCTATGGGGCTCCTTCCTTCATTTCCATATTTAACTACTGTATTTTCTCTGAGGTTTTGGTGGATTAACTGCTGTAGGAAAGCCTGCACCTCATAATAAATAATCACTGTCTAAGAAAAAACTGCCACGAGCTCTTGTCTTCCCTTTCCCTAATATTGAATTAAAATGTTCAAGTGCATTAAGTAAGAGGAAACAAAATTGAACGGCGGGGGGTTTTGTCTGTGAAAATTAATTACAATCCAGAAAATTATCAAGACAATCAGATGTGTTTGTTTTACAACACTTCCATTCAGGTGGGGGGAAAAATAACTTCAGATGAAATAGCATGCTCCTTTGCTAGTCATTAACCTGGCCGCTTTTGCTTAGCCTTCAAACTGTTCCTGCAACAGGCCTCAGGTGTTGTCACAGAAAAGGCATTAAATATTTTAAAAGCTTTGGCCGCATCAGGTTACTATTGCCAAGAGGAAAAGAGGTGAGGTCTCAAACTCCCACATCAGTCTTTTTTCTGATTGCCAAGAGCAGTATTCAGTGCTGCGAGATGGATTCAAGAAAGTTCTATTCCTGCCCTCTCTCGGGAGACTGAGCTCGGCTTCCCAAAGAAACAGGGCAGTCCAAACTGGGGTGGTTTTCAGGGGTAGCTGTAGGTACTGACGGTTCTACCACTGTACCATCAGGTCTTTGATCCAGAGGACTATTTGGTGTGGAATCATGATTACTGCTGGCATTCTAGGAAAAAGCAAAAGAAAACCACAAGTTTTAACATCTGCTGTGTGGATTTGTTCAGAAAATACACATAGACCAGGGGTAGGCAACCTTGGCTCTTTTATGACTCGTGGACTTCAACTCCCAGAATTCCTGAGCCAGCCATGCTGAGGGAAAAGGGAGAAGTTTCCAAGCTGAGCCATGCTGGCTCAGGAATTCTGGGAGTTGAAGTCCACGAGTCATAAGAGAGCCAAGGTTGCCTACCCCTGACATAGACTATCATTCCTAGTAAGCCAAAGTAGCTTCCTCTTAACACGGAACACAAAATCATATTCACAGCGCAGCGCACAAGCATTCAGGCAACAGCAAAAGCCATCATACGCAGGTAACAGATCAGATAAACTTACCTGTCCTATATTTTCCTAACTGCTTTTCCCCAAGAAGCATGTAGAAAAAAGACTTGGTGTATTTTAAGACAAATAATAATAATTCTGTGTAGATAAGAAAGAACATTCCTCAGAGCTTAACACATTTCATGCTTCTTTTTATGCAGTTGCACATATTTTCCTCATAGGCTTTCTATGCAATACTTTCTATTTGAATGTCAGCAGCGTGCTATTTTGGGAACAGAAGTATGAATATTTCAGCAGAGAAGTAAATTATCTTTCCTAATAATCACAAAAGGGGTAGGACAAGAAACACATTCTTCTGCAAATAAAAATACTAAATAACAAGATTTAATTTTATATCCTGTGCACGAACCAGCTGATATAAGAAAGCAAGCTCATGTGTTCAGATCTCTTGGCCAGATTGGCAAAACTGTTGTAAAACAGTTTTTCTTGCACTATCAAGCCAGGGCACAGGATGAGATACTACAGTATCTCTGTAAGTCTGAGACAGTAGTGGATTGACTATGCAAAAATATTAATGTCAACAGCCTTTTTTTCCTTGATGTTTTTAAGAGGTGCTGACTTTCCTTGGCACCCAGTGAAAAAGTTCAGCTTTGCCTCTTGATTAAGAGTTCTAGGACTTTTTTTTTTTTTTTTAACCTAATAGATTCATTAGTCTGAGAAGATTTGACTTCACAGCACTATCATCCATCTCTCCAATTATCCTACCTCACTAGATATTGTGCCTCTCATATAGGCACAGAGATCCTCTAGTTTGCTTCTCTCCAACTATGCTCTGAATCCTTTTCCAAATCCCAAGTTAAATGACAAATGAACTCCTAGAGCTTTTTCTTCCTATGAAATAACAATACTGAATCAATCCAATGCAAGGCACAGAGGCTCACCCATGTCTAACTGCATTATGCAAGCAAAATCTATGTTACATTTTTTAACCTCTGTTATTGTTTTAGTAGCACCAATATTTAATATGTGAAGAATGGGATGTACTAATACTGTGGTTTGGGAGCTTCTGTTTTAGAATTGCAAAGCCTTGAGTATCAGGTATGTACAACTTTTTGCCTGGAAATACCTTTCATGCACCCAAACCCTGGTTACCTGCAAAGGCTGGTTCTCGAGTGCCTGATTGGTTTTGGAGAGCTGAACCATCTCTTTTATCTGATAAATAGCATAGGCTAAAGTAACCCAGGGTGAAGAACTGACACCCCAAGCAGGCTTGTGTACGTCTTCCTGCTCTTCTTGGTGCTTGGTCTTTTTGGCAGGAAGCTTGGGCAACGGGCGAGGCATAATATCTTCGGTCTGTTGTACCAGATCAATTGTGGCAATGGGCACCGGACTTGAAGGCACCGGGATCCTTTCGGCCAGCATGGTCTTGTCTAAAATTTCAAACAAGAGACAGGATGTTGACATCAAGAGAACTCACCATCTAAGAGTTAAGTGGAAGACTTTTCTGAATCCAGCATTCTGATTCTAGGTTCTCTCTGGCTATAGTAGGAATCCATTGCTAGATTTTGATAGCAAGCTCCATTTCCTCAGTTATGAAGTTCGCACTTACTGACTGCTAGCTACTGTATTGGAGAAAAATACTTCACACCCAATATAAAATAAAAGAGGTAAGGAGTCTTCTCTCAATCCATTGCAATATCTCTCTCTCTCTCTCTCTCTCTCTCTTTTTCTTGCAAGAAGAAAAACCAAGCACTGTATAAAACAATTATCAATAATGTTTATCTTCCAATCTTATTTTTCAAAGAAAATAGTACAGGGTTGGCAAAATGGGACCAAGTTTTCAAACATCTCATAGGTCGCCTACCGGTAATTCTTCTAGATGCAGTTCAGAGAAATGTATCAAAGCATCTCTTTTATTTCAATCACCTGAGTATCTACAAAACCAATTTTTAAAACAGACTTGGGTTATTATACAAAGAGGTACAGTATCAGAGGCAAGCTTATTTTTAGCAAATTTTTTAGCTAATATGCGAGTCATCCCACATTTCTCCTCATTCTACATCCTTCTGTACAGCTAGAAAAACTCCAGAGACAACTTCCAGATGGATCTCCATGATGAACATTACAGATTTATGGGATGAGGACATGAAGAAATTGCTTCACTAGCAGAAGCCATTTTCTATAGCTGACACTGGATTTTACCACTTTTTCCTGGGATCTTTTCCCTCAAAGACATCAATGTTATAAGTCCACGTGCATGTCCTTCCATTACTTTTAAATCAATCTGTATTATATCAAGAACACAAATGAGGTTTACTCTTGCTTCAATCTGACATTGTGAAGAAGAAGAAAAAGCAGTGCGCCCAATCTTCTGTAAAGGCATACTGTAACAGGACTGCAAAACTACAGATGTCCACACGATGGCACCAAATATTAAAGTATTCTGCTTAGGCTTACTGCCATTAGAAGCTACTTGGTCTGTTGGCACTTCAGATCTGGTAGGGCTGCAATAGGCAAAGCTATGTGTGGTAAACACAATGTGCCACATGAACTAAAAATGAACCCAATCCAAAATCATAAAAAGTCATCATGCAAGCTAATTGATTAGAGATGGCAAATGTTTAAAAAAGCAAAAAACGACTTCAGGATAATGCAAACTAAAAATAACCCAAAGGAGAAAAACCGGTTAGGTAAGGTTGTTTATCTAAGGAATAAGCACTTACCTTCTTTGTCATCCTGAACTGCCATCCACTGAATCAAAGCAAAAAGCAAGAGGATAACAAGAAAAGCCATTCCTATCCCTCTGAAAGTTGAGGCAGCTCCTGTAGAGGAAAAAGCACACAAAATAGGGTCTGATTCAGTTGCAGGGGGAGTGATTGGCTAGGTAGGCATATATTTACTAAAGCATGCCCTACTCAAGCTTTAGTAAATACAGGTAGTCTTCAACTTACAACAATTGAGCCCAAAGTTTCTGTGGTTAGGTGAATTTTGCCCCATTTTACGACCTTTCCAGCCACAGCTGTTAAGTGACTCACTGCAGTTGATAAGTTAGTAACCTGGTTGTTAAGTGAATCTGGCTTCCCCATTGACTCTGTTTGTCAAAAGGCCGCAAAAGGTGATTGCATGACCTTGCGACACAGCAACGGTCAGTAAGTGTGAACCATATGAATGTTGATCACATGGGGAAGCTAGAAAAAAACTGAACTGTAACGGAGAAAAACGGTCATAAATCACTTTTCTCAGCGCCGTTGTATCTTTGAACGGTCACTAAATGAACTGTTGTAAATCGAGGACTACCTGTAAATGAGCCAGTTTGGTGTAGTGGTTAAAATGGCAGGCTAGAAATCAGGAAACTATTAGTTCGAGTTTTAGGCACAAAGCCAGCAACTGACCTTGGCTAGGCTAGGTCACTCTCCCTCAGCCCAGGGAAGCAGGCAAGGGGAATCACGTTTGAAAAACCTTGCCAAGAATAATGGGCAATTGTTGGGAGTCAGAACTGACTCAGTGGCACAAAAACAAACAAACAAAACCCTATCCTCATTTAAATGAAACTTTCTCCCAGCAAAAGTGTACGAGAGGAGAGCATTCATGCTTCAAGGACCTCTGCACCATTTTGTTTATTCTCCCTCAAAAGAGAGAAGATGGCTGAGATCAAAGAGACAAGTGGAATTGCATTTTAGTTTTAACAGGCAAAAATGGGTACCATTTAAACAACAACAACAAAAAAAGCAGAGGAAGCTGTCTTCATTTATGAACACTTTTCACTAACAATTGAAAGCTACGACCTTACAGTACGTTGAGGAAATTACACAAGGTAATTATTATAGGTTTTATTTATGCCACAATAGGAGAGGCTTTTTAATAGTTATTGTTCTTTAAGGACTCATTAGGGGGTCTCAGATTTCACGTTAGAAATGGGCACACTTGTCTATTTCTGCTTATAACTGGAACTGGAAAGTGTGAAAAGAAGTGTTCCCAGTGGAACTCTGTATTAAAAAAATCATTTTAATGCTAAAAGTTTGGTACTCGTTGGGTATTACTCTTGGAATATTTTCCCATTTCTTTCTAACAAGACCACATATTATATGCTACAAACTCAGAAGAAAGGAGACTAAAATTTCGCTTCATGATTTCTGAATCTGGAAGCTTTCCAAAATATGAATAATTCAGAAGTAGAATTGGGTGATTTGTTGTAAATCAGCAAAGGCACCTGACTGTTATAGTGGTGTTTAAAAGTTTGTAAAACCTTTTGAATTTTCAGTATTTCTGCATAAACATGACCTAGGGATCAGAGGTATAGCTTGAAGACACCTTTCCAGCAATTTATCTGCTTGAAAACCTCCTAGAACAGTTTGCAAATCTCTCTATGTGTTTATCAGGACAACTTCTCTTTTTCTCTCTCTCAAGTGGGATAAAAATATCTAATATGATTTATTTGCTTACATATCACATTTAGAAACTGCCCATCTTTCACATAGGGCAACTTTGGGCCGTGTACAAATCTAATAATAGCCATAATAAATGGAGAGGAGGCTGCATCCCAAAACAGCCAGCCTGCCCAGCTACTGAATCACCATGGTCACTGCAAGAGCACCATCTAGCATGCAAATACACCCGGTAGCAGGGTTTGTGCTGGGAGAAAATGAAAATCCCTATTTCCACATTGAATTGAAAATCCTGCAGTTAGTTGGCTTTGGTTATGGGCTGAGAATAAGAAGAAAGCAGAGTGCCATGTGGAATATTTCCCAGAAGATGGAGACCAAAGTCCCTTTGAGATGATGTTCAGAGGCCTTGTAGACGTGTCTCTAGAACCACGGCAGAGAAGGTTGAGTTACCAATTGATATTTACTGATTGATATAGGCTGTGTTCTCCCCAATGTGACTTTTCCCTCCCTATACACTCTGTGTGTGTGTGTGTGTGTGCATGTGCATGCATATTTGACAGCCAAACAATGGAAAGTATACAAATTGACTGTGCTTGCCTGCAACAGTGGGAGCTACAGTCCAAGACAAATACTCAGCATCTGGTTGAGGAAAGCCAAATCAGGAGGAGTCTGGTAGCACCTCTGACTGCTAACACGGTTCTTCAGTTTCCACAATGGTTGAAGAAAAGGTTCTTAAAGCAATAGTCCAAACAGTTGAAAGTCATATAAATACCTAAGTTTCCCTTACCAAAATAATTGACCAACACTCCACCAATCATTGCTCCGCATCCTCTGCCCAGGCCAAGGTGAAGACCCTGCAAGATCCCCTGGGCTGACGTCCTCAGTTCCGGGGGCACAGCAGCACTTAGATAGGAAATGCAAGCTGCCCAGATGGCTGCGTGGGTCACACCTACAAAGGACAGAAACACGACACCATGTGTTCTTAAGATGATTGTTCTCTGCAGGAGTGTTGGGAGTTACACAACCAATACTGTCCATGGCAAGAGTGCGTAGCCATTTTAGGGTGCAGCTGCACTTTGAGCCCTGGGCACTCTTCAAGAGCTGTAAAATTGAAACGAGGCTGGTGGTAAAGAGTACCAGAACACATTCATACATATGGCACCTGTCGCTTCCTTCATCAGCATCATAGCTAGGGAAGCTATAAGCAGTTTCTTTATTGCCCACCACACGTCCACTCATAGCCAAAGAAACAATTAGGTCTTCCAACAGCCAGTGATAACGCATCCTCTGAATGCAGAGAAAGTAAGCAAAGCAGTGAGCCTCAGGTTCTCCATGAGTTGCCCCCATGTGAACAGTGAGGGCATGAAATATATCTAAAAGAGTGTACAGATGGTCCTCGACTTATAACAGTTCATTTAGTGACCGTTCAAAGTTACAACGGCACTGAAAAAGTAACTTATGACCGTTTTTTCACACTTGTCACCGTTGCGGCATCCCTGTGGTCATGTGATCAAAGTTCAGATGCTTGGCAACTGACTTGTATTTATGACGGTTGCCATCTCCTGGGGTCGTATGATCCCCTTTTGCGACCTACTGACAAAGCAAAGTCAATAGGGAAGCCAAATTCGCTTAAAAACCATGTTACTAACTTAAAATGGTGGTGATTCACTTAACATCTATAGCAAGAAAAGTCGTAAGATAGGGCAAAATTCACTTAACAACTGTTTTGCTTAGCAACAGAAATGTTGGGCTCAATGGTGGTCATTAGTCAAGGACTACCAGTATTATGTTTTATCAATATGCTAGAAGACTTAAGAAGATGGGCTGTGCCTTTTGTCCTTAAATTACAGATGCACAAACTCAACAAGATATATTTTTAGTTTAAAAAAACTCATGAAAATAAATTTGGCTGGTCAGTTAACTTGCCTGTAAAGACTCACATTTAAATTAAATAAAGCTTCCATACTTTTGTTTGAGTACTTAATATAACTTTTAATAACGTGCATTTTGCAACTAATCTAGAAACTTTTCTTATTTTGTAAAAACAAAATAAATGATTTCCTAAGTTAGAAGATAGCAAAAACAAATTTCAAAAAGTAACAAGCTTAAATTCCAAACAATGTGGCTGAATATCCAGAGTTACTGCAGTCTTCATTCTTTCAGCCATACTTGCTAATACTACAAATATTAAAGAGTGCTACAAATAATGTTATGAATATTGGAGAACCAGTTTTATGTAAGAGTTAAGGTGCTAGAGTGGAAGCTGAGAGACTTGAGTTCTAGTCTTCCTTTAGCCATTAAAGGTGTGATTTTGGGGCTGGTCGCTCTCACTCTCAGTCCAAAAGTCAGGCCCAGCCCAAGAACAACATAGAACAATTCAAGCAAAAGTTCAGTTCTTTATTTGTTCAAAGCAGATAGAATCTTGTCAGATTAAACCTATACTATTCTACCACAAACAAATATAACTTGGGAGTTTCTAGGGAGTGGCTACTCTAAATATCTGCTTCAGCTGAGCAGTGATCCAGCTCTGGGCTGTGTTGTCTCTTGTCTCCCCATTCCCCCCTCCCCTTTGGAATGTGCTCCCTCCTTCCTGGGAAACTACAACTTCACTGTAGTCCACCACAACACTTCCCCTTTGTAGCTCCATCACACCAATCCACCTCATAGGGTCACTGCTATGAGGAAAAATTGGAGATGGGAACAATAGATAGGCTGCCTTGAGTTGTACAAACGAAGTCAGAATACAAATCTAATAGTAAATAAATAAAAATATTCTATTCAGAGTTAGAATGTGAACCTAAGTGAGGGAAAAGACTAAAGGTAGTTTAAGTTTCATGGATGAAAATTATGAGCACAGCTATTCTAATCTTCTACTGGATGGGCCATTTTTTTTATTTTTATTTTTTTGGTAGACCTGATATTTTTTTTCCAGTTTGTAACATTTTTCTCTTGGACTTGAAGGCTTCTATTTCTACTGCCTCCCTTCCAATCAGGTGCATTCATTCATAGGGCGCAGGCCACATCTCAACAAGTCTTCCCTAAATCTCAGGATCTCCGCCTCTTCCCTGCCCTCAAATCCATTACCAGCTATTTGGTCTTTAACTTTCACCCCAGTGACAGAAAATGACTAATATTAACCAAAACAGAACAAAACTGGTTCTGCCTGAATGTGTAGTTGGTTTTAAAAAACAGTATTTTCCTTTCAATTGCAGGCAATAGGATATTAACAGATTAAGAAACTAATGCCTTCTAGGTAAAGCCCCACAAGCAACTAAGCCTTATCTGCTGCAAGTTTCATCAGGAATCCCTTGTTTGGTGAAAGGGTGTGTTGTTGGCTTAGGTCACATAGCAGAATATTATGTCCGTCTACTGTAAAAACCACTTCCTGTCATTCATCTTTTTCTCCACCAACTGTACTGTACAAAAAGAGAACGATCCCTTTTGATTAGTTCCTGACAAAAGCTGAAGCCCAGGAGGATTTATGCTTAGTTATGACTCAGCAGACATTACAACTAGGAACCTGGAACGTAGAGTTCAGACACAGAAGCGCCCTATTTCCTTACCTTGAAGGACTTCCATAGGCAGAACAGTCCAAGCATTTTCTAGATAGGAGATATAAATATAACGAGCTGTATTGCAGGCAAGACCGATATACAGAACTCTGCAAGTAAAGGAGAGATCGCTGATTACTTTTGACATGTTTTAATATTCTTACCGACAAATTATCTGTATCGCTTTCAACCTGATCTACTCCAGCTTCACAAAAGATGAAGGTTTTTTTAAAAAAATATCCAGGACTGGACACCAAGTTGTATAGATAAATACCTCTAATACAAGGGTGTCAAACTGAATTTCATTGAGGGCCGCATAAGCATTGCGATTGCCCTGGGGGGGGGCGGGAGTGTGTGGCCAGGGTGGGTGTGGCTTACTGGGTGGGCGTGGCCAGCTCTACATTGTTTGCATCAAGGGAGCTTGTGGGGGCCTGGGCAGGAGTGGGACAGATCTGAGGGTCTCTGGCAGAAGGGGGTGGGACCAGGGCAAGTGCCAAGGCATGGTCCACAGAGGAGCCTCACTGTTCCTCTCAGTCCATGCCGGGGGGGGGGGGGCTGGATGGTGGTGCTACCACAAAATTGTACATTAGCTCCTGGCCGGCCTGGGCCAGGGCCAAGGCAGCAGGGGCCATTCCCTCACTGTTTCCAGGATGGCTTCGTGGGCCACATGAAACCACTTCGCGGGCCGCATCCGGCCCCCGGGCCTTGTGTTTGACATGTCTGCTCTAATAACATACTTACATGCCATGAAAGAATACATGATACAATGCTTTAAAAGAAATGTGCAACTGCTCCTGTGCATAACATTTTCACTGAAAACAGATTTTTTAAAAAAAATATCCAGGACTGGACACCAAGTTGTTCACAAACACTCTTAAAATGCAGAGGGAAAATGCACAGAGATAGTAGTGGCTAGAAACTGGAAGGCCACGAATTCTAGTCTTGCACAAAGGCACAAAGCCAGCCGGGAGACTTTCAGTCACTTTCTCTCAGCCCAAGGAAGGAGCCAATTCTTCTAAAATTTTGTCAAGAAACTGAAGAGAGTAGTTCAGTCAGTCACCAGTTCAGTCAGTAGTTCAGTCAGTCACCAGGAGACAAAAACTGACTCAAAGGTCTCTGTGTGCACAGACGAGTGCCTGCGTGCACGGGCACACACACACACAATAATCAGATACTGAAGAGTATTGTTTGTTGATGAGGAAAATGGACAAGTAGGGTGGTGCAGCAAGAGGAGTGAAAAATGACACCTTGCAACATTTTGTTGCAGAATCCCACTTACCGTTCACTCTGTTTTCAGTGAAAATGTTATGCACAGGAGCAGTTGCACATTTCTTTTAAAGCATTGTATCATGTATTCTTTCATGGCATGTAAGTATGTTATTAGAGCAGACATGTCAAACACAAGGCCCGGGGGTGGGATGCGGCCCGCAAAGTGGTTTCATGTGGCCCGCGAAGCCATCCTGGAAACAGTGAGGGAATGGCCCCCGCTGCCTTGGCCCTGGCCCAGGCCGGCCAGGAGCTAATGTACAATTTTGTGGTGGCACCACCATCCAGCCCCCTCCCCCCCCACATGGACTGAGAGGAACAGTAAGGGTCCTCTGTGGACCATGCCTTGGCACTTGTCCTGGTCCCACCCCCTTCTGCCAGAGACCCTCAGATCTGTCCCACTCCTGCCAAGTCCCCACAGGCACCCTTGACGCAAACGATGTAGAGCTGGCCACGCCCACCCTGGCCACACACTCCCGCCCCCCCAGGGCAACCACAATGCTTATGCGGCCCTCAATGAAATTCAGTTTGACACCCCTGTGTTAGAGGTATTTATCTATATACTGATTGCTTTAAATATTTATTGGCATTGAAACGTTAAGTTAGCTTTCCTGTTGTTCATTCTGAGCACTACTGCAGAGAAACCAGTGGGGTTCTTTATTTCAAAAAAAATGAATAAGTATAAATCATATGCTGTATTTATTGAGTCTCGAGTGCCATGTATAAACACAATGGTAAGAATATTCAACTAATTACCAAAAATATTTCCTGGCTTATACTCAAACTATACAATGTAAATAATAATAAAAATATGTAATTGGCAAAAAAGAGGATATTTATTGTAAATATGTCGTGCCTTTAGCAGAATAAGCTATCTTGCTAAATGCATAATATTGGAAACAAATACATTTCAATATTAACAGAGCCCATATGGATTCACTGATATATTTAATATCCTTTTGAATGTCTGAATTCTGAAATATGTTCATAATTATAAATATTCAGTTTGCCGAAACTGGATATAGATAGTCTTCCGCTTATAACCACAACCGGGTCTGGAATCTTGGTCATGGAGCGAGGGGGCCATTAAACAAGATGCTACCTGATCGCTTCACTTAATGATCACAATCCTGGTTCTCTGAGTTGCAGTTGTTAAGCAACTGCGCAAGTCATTAAGCGGAGTGCCAGGAAAAAGGCCTTTGCCTCCTGGGCGTGGTGAAATGGGGAGAAGGCCCAGCCTCCCCACCCACTTGAATGCCTGTAACTACAGTTCTGAGAGAAAGGAAGAAGGCCTGAGGGGAAGCTTGCCTATATGACTGCAGCTACTTTGGAAAAGAGCAGACGGCAACTCCGACTTTAAACCATGCATTTAGGAGACTATCCACCCAACAAGATCAACAGTCAAATCAACAGATAAAAATCGATTCCTAGGAAGGACCTAATAAAAGACAGATCACAAAGACAGAACAATAGAACGCCATACGTTGTCACCTACGGTTCACAGCGCAAACTGTTCAAACCCATTATTAATAATCTGCAATCCACTACACTTTCTCAAGCACTGGGCGGCAAACTCATACTTGGAAACAGATAACTAACTACCCAACCTGAAGCAGATTCTCACAAACAACAGATGTTAATGTGAGAAAGACCCGGCAATTAAACCAGATGTTTACTTTGCCCCTGCATTTACATTAACAACACAATAACAGGTCCCAACAACTTCAAGCATAAGATTATTTCCACATGCTTTTCATCCAATATGATATATATCATCATTTGATGACAAACAGGTCAGGGTAATAGACACAAATTTGACATTAGGACCCAAAATAAGGACAAAGCAATATCAGAGCATTTTAACCTCCCAGGACACTCCATTATAGATCTGAAAGAGCTGTTCTAGAACAAACAAACAAACAAAAACACAAATTACCAGCACAATAAAGCAAGAAACTGCTGAACTCAAATACACATCACAAGGTTTCAGGCCAGCTCAGAAGATCTCAATAAGCATAATGAGTTTTTGTTTATTTGCTTATTGTAATTTGTCTCATTAATAACCTGCATAAGCATAACTATCTTATCTTCCTCCCCTTTCCCCCCTCCATTTCATGCCTATTTATCTATTTATTGGTATCCCGCCTTTATTATGTTTACAAATAGTTCGAGGCGGTGAACGTACCCAATACACCTTCTTCCTCTTATTTGTCCCACAGCAACACCCTTGTGAGGAGGGTAGGCTGAGAGAGAGTAACTGGCCCAAAGTCATCTAACCGGCTTTCACGCATATGCATATTGATTATATTAGTGTTTATGATTTCTCAATGTAGGAATACTTGGCTATTATTTATTTTTACCCTATCTTAATCTTAAAAAGGTTCTAGGCAATGCACAAAGGCAACAGTGAGCAGCAAGTGCACCAATAAATACAAAAAAACCAGAACATCATCATCTTACTAACTTATATGAAACAATTACATATCCAATGTCTGGTTCTGATCATTCCCACCAATCAAGACTTTTTTCACAATGATTTTTACACTAGCTTCTGGGAGGCTACAGGAGTGGAAACCATACTTGACTTCTTCCAATTTCCCCTTGGGCTTTCCCAATTTGGGGAAACTGAAGGCAAGAGTGTCCCCTCCTCACACTCCAAGGAAGGCTCTTTTCACCAGCTCCCTGCCTCTCTCATTCAAGGCATCAGAAAGTTTCCTTCTTCTCTCCTGCATCTTCTTCTCCTCGCTGCCTTTCTCACAATTCACACTTCCATATAAGTTCCTCTGGCTAATTCCATATAACTCACAATTTAGCAACCACATTCAGTTAGGTATAACTCTAGGCTTTCCTACCTTGCTTTGCCATATACTTTGATATTTTATCATTATCTTTAATTGTTGTTTTTAAGACTTTTTTAAAAACTCCTCCTTCTCCTGGCTACTGTGTATTATTATTAAAAGGACCTGGAAAAGCTCAATTATAGTATCAAAGACATGGCCAGGTGTTGACCATAGATCACAAACTGCTCCTGTGCATGGTGGTGGTGGTGGTGGTAGTGGAGGAGGAGGAGGAGGAGGAGGAGGAGGTGGTGGTGGTTTCCACAATATGATCTTGTCATACCCGTCATTTTCAAGAACAGCATGAAGTCCTAAACCTCATTGGTTCAGAGGAAGGATGAATGTAAAAAGAGACTATCAAAAATGAGGAGAAGAAACCAAACTGGGTCTTAGAACAAACTATGGAAATTGCTGAGAAGAGAAGCCAAAGCCAAGAAGGACAAAAAAAAAAAAACAGAAAAGAACTTAACAGAGATTCAGAAAGCTGTTAGAAAAGACAAGAAGCAATATTACAACTCTGGAAAGACACTGAAGAAGCAGATGTGGAAAAACAAGGAAGTTCTTTCAAAAGATTTCTTAGGAGGTTCCAGTCTTGAATTGGAGCTAAAGGACACTAATGGATAGACATTAACTACTTCAAAGGAGATCAAAGAAAGATAAAAGAGTATACTGAAACACTGTATAGTAAAAATATCAACATTCAAGATACCTTAGAACAGGGGTCTTCAAACTTGGCCCTTTTATGACTTGTGGACTTCAATTCCCAGAATTTCTCAGCCAGGCAAGTCCACAAGTCATAAAAGGGTCAAGTCTGAAGACCCCTGCCTTAGAAGATATTTCCTTACTTATAAGAACCTCTAGTACTAGAAGATGAAGTTAGATCAACACTCTCGTCATTACTAAGTTGAAAGGCTACAGGAACTGATGGAATATCCACTGAAATATGGCGTAACAGAAGACAAGTCAGTCAAGGTTCTAACCAAACTAAGACAGTAGAACTAGGGAATAATGGCGGCCAACCGATTGGAAGAGGTCACTCTACATTCCAATAAAAAAAAGAGAGATGTATAGAATCTGCAAACTATTATACAGTTATACAATTTCACATTCTAGCAAAACAACACATTAGCTACACTAAAGCTACATGGAAAAAGAGATGCCATACGTTCAGATTTTAGAAAAGACTCAGGAACACAAGACATTATTGCAGATGCACACTGGATAATTGACAAAAGCCAAAAAACACAATATGTGTTTCACTGATTACAGAAAGGCCTTTGTGTCAATCATATCAAGATGTGAAAGCAATATATCAAAAACAATCTGCTCAAATAATTATTAATGGAGACTTGACAGAACCTATAGAAATACAAAAAGGCACCAGACAAGGTTGTCCACTTTCTCCACTATTATTTGTATTGTCTTTAGAAATTTTGCTGTCTAGAATCAGAGAATCACCAATGATTAAAGGCTTAAAGATTTTTACTAAAGAATACAAACTTAAAGCTTTTGCTGATGATTTAGTTTTTACATTAACACAACCAATCAAATCATTGGAACTTTTGCTACAGGAACTACATCAATATGGTAAAGTGGCTGGATTTAAAATTAATGTGAATAAGACTAAAATCCTTACAAAGAATATGATTGTTAGGGACAAAGATCAACTTATGCAGATGTCAGGATTTGAAGTGGTTAACAAAGTTAAATATTTGGGAATTTTTTTGTCATCATCCAATGCGAAACTTTACCAGAACAATTATGAAAGATTGTGGAAATTGGTACAAAAGGACTTATCATCGTGGAAAAAATTA